GGGTCAAGGATGGGCCTTGCCAGGATCGGTGCATGTGCATAGGTCTCTTCGCCCGATCCACGCCTGCTCCCTCTCGTTTTCGCAGCCGTTAGTGCGCCAGCCGCCTGCCCGCGAGGCCGCTTCGGCACACTCTGCAGAGCAACCAGACTCCTCGCACGTGCCCCCTTCTCACGCACGGGACAGTGGGCTTGAGCGGCCAGCCGTTGCCAGCAGACGTTGCGCAGCCAGACGTTGCCAACAGATGTTGCTCGCAGACGTGGCCAGCTGACGTTGCCCGCGAGCCTTTGCCAGCAAACGTCAAGCAGCCGATGCCAGCAGGCGTTGCCGACCCGCACTGCCAGCAGCCGCCCAATGCAGTGAAAGCCTGCAGTCGGCAGCAGTCGTTGTCCTGAGCGCCCGCGTGTCCAGCCGGTCATCATCAGCTGGAGGCTCGCCGCCAGTGAAGACTAACCTCTGCCTACCGCCAGCGACATCGTCAGCTGGCCCCAGTGTGCCAGCTTGGGCAAGCGCGTGTCAGCGCAGCCCTTCGGCATTCTCCTTTGTCGTTTCCTCGTCCTCCGCAGCCCCATCCTCCTCTGCCGATGCGCTATGGCCGAGGCTCCAACAAAAGGCAGAGCCACCGATGCCAACACATCCGCGCGCGCAGCTTTTTCCACCATTGCGCCAGCAAGCCTCCAGGCCCAGCATTGGCCCTGAGCCAGAGGCTACATCTTTGAAGACGTTCTGCCCATTCCCACTGCCGCGGCCCCGATTTCCACCTTCGTCTCCTTTTTTTTTGCGCCTATGGCGCTGGCCACTGCCATGTGCAGGACACAACGCTTAGCGGAGCACGTTCTTGAGCGATACCCCGCTGAGCAAGACTCTGTTGCGTCGCCAGTTGTTGCTCCTTGGGCATGTTGCCTGCAAGCCTTCTGATGAGCCAGCCAAGCGCACTTCCTACGCCCTTTCTCACGCAAGTGACTGGCGCTGAAATTCAAGCAAAAGCGGGGGCACCCCTGGAAAACTTGAAACCGACAAAGTTTCTGCCCAAGCTGTCCAAACCGCGGGGGGGGAGAAGGCCCTGCCGCAAGTCTGGCAAGACAGAAAATAATTTACGCCGCAGCCTGGCGCCCAGCCGTGGAGCGGTATTGCGGCGCTACGTGAGGCTCCCGCATTTGGGTTATCTGCTTGGCACACATATGTTTCTTTTTCCCTACCTAAGCCCTGCTTAGAGGGTTCTTACTCGCTGGGCTGAAAGGGGCCGGGCAGTCGGCTTCGCCCCGGGCGCTTCCCCCGGCCCCCGCCCCGCGGTTCCCCCAGTTGCGCCCTCGACCTTAGCTTTGCGTATCTCGTACTAGCTTAGCTTAGCTTGGCTTAGCTTAGCTTAGCTTAGCTTAGCTTAGCTTAGCTTGGCTTTGTTTACTAGCTTAGCTTAGCTTAGCTTCATCTTAGCTTCACCTTAGCTTCATATTAGCTTCGCTTAGCTGTAGTTTAGATTAGATTAGCTGAGCTTAGCTTAGTTTAGCTTAGCTTAGCTTAGCATATAATAGCATAGTCCAGCAAAGCCTAGCATAGCACAGCATAGCATAGCATAGTACAGCATAGCATAGCATAGCATAGCATAGCGCACCATAGCGCAGCATAGCATAGCATAGCGCACCATAGCATAGCATACCATCGTCTAGCATAGCATAGCGCACTCTAGCCTAGCATAGCATACCGCAGCATAGCGCAGCATAGCATAGCATAGCCTAGCATCGCTTAGCATAGCATAGCATAGTGCTGCATAGCATACAGCAGCATAGCGCAGCATAGCATAGCATATCAAATCATGGCATAACATAGCATAACATAGCATAGCATAACATAGCAAAGCATAGCATATCATTGCATAGCATAACATAGCAGCAAATCAAAGGCAAAGCAACAGCAGCAACAGCAAAGCAAAGCACAAGCAACGCAAAGCAAAGCAAAGCAAAGCAAAAGCAAAAGCAAAGCAAAGGCAAAACAAAAGCAATGTGCGACAGATGCCGAGCTAGCCTCGACGGCCGGACCAGAGCCCCCGCAAGCAGTGCGTTCCAGGCCCTGCCACACAGCCGTTCACGCTCATGTCCCGAGGTTGGCAGAGTGAGGCTTTCAGCGGTGCTGCACAGCCCGCCTCGGCACCAGGTGGTGCTGCACAGCCCACCCCGCCTGTCGTGGCCATCGATGTGGGCGACGTCGCGTCCAAGCGGAACGACGATCAGCGGGTTGAAGGCAGCGAGATGGACACGGCTGTCGAGGAGGGCTTCTGGGCGTTCGTTGTGCTCTTTGCGGCTGAGTTCGGCCTTCAGGGCATGCATTTCATCAGTAGCACGACGCGGGGCACGTGGCACTCGCACCATGCCCGCCTGGGGAGGGTAGAGGCGTGGGTCGTCAGGCTGATCCGGAGCACAGGCTTGCTCGAGATGGGGATGCCTGAGGCGAACATCCATTTGACGTCTGATAAGAGCGGGCGGGATGGTAAGGGCGTTGCTTCTCG